TCTGATCAATTGGGAAGTCAGAAGGCTATTATTGCTTGTTAGAAGGACTATTGCCTAGGTGAGTTGACTGCTGTTGTTGTCCCTTCAGGCTAATGGTAAGATGATGCTAAGTGTCTGAGCGTCACTGTCTTGCTTAAGTTTTTCTTACTTAAGCTTCATTTTCACAATTTTCAATAGAGGCTTTTGGTTCTTAATTTAACTGTTATCATTGCAAGGTTTTCTGAATGTGCATTTTGTGATGTGCTTGTATTATGTGTTTATTTAGTCTATACCAGCTATTCTGTCCCATGTTTGTGATGCTTTTCTAATGTGCCGATATGATTCATTAACATTTTTAGTCAAGTTATATTATTTGTTCAGTTAATTATCTACAGTCAGTAAGTTCAGAGTTTTAACCTTGAAATCTTGATTTGTTCATTGTACCTTCATTAACTATGATTCCGTTTTCTGTTCCACTAATTAATGTTTCAAGCATGTTTATTGTCTTAATTGGCATGATGGCCATGAGTGGTTAAATTACCTTAAAATATTTCTCATGTTCCAAAGCATTGTCATGAGTGTTGCCAATTTAATTCCCGTCAATTAATTTTAGTTATGCTTTTCAGTTAACTGGCACACGAACCACCTCCGCCTGCCCATGCTCTAATTTCTAGTATATACACTTTTAGAATCCACTACACATTCGCAATCCACACATTACTTTATTAGTCCATAGAGTTGGTTTTGTACTTGAGTTGCGTGTTTTGGTTAATTTTGTACAAGATCCCTTAATTAATTCTATAGAGAAATTGTTTCATTATCCTTTCACTTAGATAGTTACCTCTAAATTCATAAGCAGACAACGAGTTTGTCTCATTCGCTAGAGACACACGGTAACAGTGTGACATCAAAAATGATGGTGAAATGAAAAAAAAAACTCGCAAATGAAGGTAAAATCGAAAAAAAATTTATGAGCTAAAAAATCACCGTTTGGTAGTTAGGAATGTATATTCAAAATTTCGTTCAAATCTGTTCAATAGTTTGGGAGAAATTATTTGATCACTGTGAATTTCGGTCTGTTTCGCAATATACGCGCAACTCACGAATGAATGTGAAATTAAAAAAAATTTACGAGCTAAACATCAACTTTAGGTTCTGATGAATACGTGTTCCAAGTTTCATAGAGCTGCGTTCATTGGTTTGGGAGATATTTCTTGATAATTGAATTTGGAGATTGGTCGTGAGACCGGCCACGAACCCGGCCGGAAATTCGACCGAGACGTCCTGCAGTTTCTAGGGCTGAAACAGTTAAAACAGCTGAAAAAATTATTGGTTCACTAAATGGAGTTCTATTTCTTAAATGCACATTTGTGTTTAACCTTAATCTTTTAAAATTGCAGCGTACTACATTTCAAGAAAGAGGCGTATGTCTGTGGGGGGCGCTAAAAATTAACTAGGGAGCTAAAGGGGGCACCACCCTGAAAGAGGTTGGGAACCACTGCTGTAACCACTAACAAGTACCATTCTCGAAAGTACTTGGGAAGGGGAGTAGGGAAGAGGGGAATGGATTTTTTTCCCCTCATTGGGGGATTTTGTGGGCTGCCGAGACCGTGGCTTGGGAAGGTAGTGGGGAGGGATAGGGAAGAGGAGGGAGTGTAATTAGATGCTTACAGTGAGGCAGCGAGTCAGGCAACTCAGGCTGCGCGTGCGAACGAAGCGCGTGTCGCGTGACGCTTCGAAGGACGAAGCGTCATGATTCTTGCTTTAATCTACGGAAGTTTCACAGAATTTTTGAGTAAAATGACTTATATGTACCACAGGGAATATGACTCACAAGTCACAAGTGTATGGTATACCGATCAATCAAGAATAAATAGTTAAACCTATGTACATCGAGAAAATGGTAGAAAAGTCACGCGCTTCACAAACAACGGGGTGCTCATATCCTTCCTATTTACAGTTGAAAGACAAATTTGTAAAATTCATCTTAACGTACGAGCAGTGAAGAAAAATAGCTTGAATAGCATTAAAAATTTGGGACTTGTATCTTATTTAGGATGGGAGTTATAGTTTAAAAAAATATAACTCAGTACTCACTGCAGCGAGTGACAGAGAGCGCATTTTCTCGTCGACGAAAACATAAAGTCACGGACGGACAGACAGACGGAAATGACGAGCACAATAGCGCCTTTTTAGCGCATTTTCTCATTTATGAAAAAAATGGACTATTGTGCTTGCCATGTCCGTCTGTCTGTCTGTCTCTCTGTCCGTCCGTGACTTCATGTTTTCGTCGACGAGAAAATGCACTCTCTGTCACTCGCTGCAGTGAGTACTGAGTTATATTTTTTCGATAAATGAGAAAATGCGCTAAAAATAGTGAATAAACCTCATAGGATTGGACGCGGCCTGACGGCGGTACGTTTCTATATTCAGTGACAAGGAGAAGAAAATTTCATGGTCGAATTCATAGGCCATTTTATTTCCGATATTGTTTTCGGAATTTAATATAATTAATTTCACTTAATATTCAGAATGAAATTTTTTCATTAGAATTGTAAAATAATTGTACAGCTCTCATTTTTGATTAATAGAGTACTATTCTACTTGATGAAAGTTTCACAATACGCTTAATTTCTAGCGTTTTCTAGCATTTGTGCAGCTCCAATTCAGATTTATTTACCCGTTATTTGCATTGATTCAGTGATACTGTGAAATTGAGCTCACTATTATGTTATTAATAAAACTTTCGTTGCTGTAAATTATGAAAAAAATTTGAACAAATTTATCGCGTTATTCATCATGCCTCCTTACGTCACACTTTATAACTTATGCAGTATGAATAAGCTGTATAAAATCAAACATAACACCTCATAAATAAACCCGTGGTAAAATAGCGATATAAGTTCAAATTAAATTAGTTACACGTCTCCCATGCGCGGTAAGTAATCGGAGCAAGTTGTAAAGATCGTTACTAAAGCGACGGATTTTCATACAAATGATGCCGAATTGAACCATGCAGGTGCTAAACTAACTTCAATATATTTACTTCAACTACTATCACTATTTAGATTCTGAACTTGATCTCCTGCCGCAGAGGTGAAATCAGAATCTTTTATAAAACTGTTCGATACGCAGCCTCATAGTCTAACTAGACCCTCTTCAAATAATTTATCTATAGAATGGAAAATTTATTTATCATTCATGCAACTTTTCGTTTTGCTCTTATATTACAAATCATCTCTGGTTCATCAGAAAAGCAGAACTCTTAAGATTTGGAATTGCTATTCTGAACTGCCTTTACGGTTGAAGAGAGCCGAAATTAGGTTGACTGGTGTCGATTATAATTTACCATCGTGTAATTGCTATTATTTATTAAAGGTCTTCGATGCAGGGTTTGATGCATCACATAAAACCAGTAGATAACGACAACCGGCCAGTCGAGCGACATGAGGCTGCTACTGTCGCCAAGGAATGATTACCTGTTATCGTGGGAAATCGAACTCATGTCACCCACTCTTGTCAATGCCAAACTTTTACTTCGAGGCCATCATATACGTTCAGCAAAATGAAGTTGCCATTAGCAGGTGTCATCTGAAGATATTATTAACATATCACGCATCTAGAGACTGCCTGTTATAAATCAACTACTCAAACAGTATCATTATTCGCTGCCGTTAGGTCAGTTCCAGAAGGTTTTTGAGGGTTAGTCAGCATCAGCTGAAGGTGCATGTGCAATAAAATACTACAAACAACTTTGATATTTTTTTTTCAATTTATGAACGGCTCGTATCGTGTAATGACGCATTGTAGGCTCGTAAGCGAGTTGTCAATAAATATCAGAAAAACAAATATTTATATATCGGATACTTTTCGGACAGCTCTCAAGCCACTTTTATTGAGTATGGTATGAAAAGTGCTGCTTATAAGCCGATCTTTATCAACCCTGTCACCTAATTTTCTTTTGTGTTGCTGAACCTAGACAGCACCCGAAGAGACTCTCACTGCCCGCAGCTTTTAACGTTTGTTTCCACCCTTTCCAAAGAAATAAAAATCGGAAACATGAAGTGAAAATAAATTAGGACATGAAATATAGATCAAATAGGCAAGACCTACGGCTATCAGGTTCTTAAAAGTAAGGTCGCCGTTGTCGGTTTAGCATTTCAATCTAGGTCATTGTCGTATATAGTTGTTAATTCAATACGTCATTGCGGTTTGTTGAAAAAAAGTTAGGAATAAGAAAAATATTCCACCTATAGAACCATTACCAACAAATGCTTATTAATCATAGATTGTTACAAAAATTAATAAATTTAGGATTGGTTATTATTGATAAGACACTATGAGCAAAGAGCCTCAACATCCGCAACATCCACAGAAAAACTCCCTGCTTAGTTATATCAATCAGCGACAAAACTTCACGATTGTATAGTGAGTTTAAGGTGCCTTAGTTCATTCATGGAGCTTATGTCATCACGCCATCGTGTCATCATCACGACTGATAATTTTATTGTTTCTAATAACTGGTAGTGCATAAATTTACTACTTGCCCATCGATTTTAAAATTGCATCGTTGCGGTGGATGATCTTTACGATCGATCATAATGCCCATTGAGATTGATAAATTAGACGCCATTTGTTCCCATTTATGCGTTCGTGATTTGATTCACTCAGGATAATTCAAATTTTTATACAGTACGATTCAACTGGGATCATTTGGGCTCTGGTGCTTGTTCAGTTCCTTGATTATGAAATTGAACCTCACCTACGGATTGGCTGCCTCTCTGACCCATGCAATAACGATCTCTTGAAAATCTTCAATCGTGGCACTATGTAAATCACAATCTCGGAGAGAGTAAAGTACACGATAAACGTTATGAACTACGATTTTTCAATGCGTTTAAAAAACCCCTAAGCCTAGATAGCTAACTACTTCATTGCGATATCTTCTGCGACGCAATGAAATTTAACTCGTGTCGATGTTGCAACTATGCTTTCATAAACCCTCTGAAGATTCAGTTCTGTTGCAGTTTTGACTAACAATTATTTCGGATAAATTAATAGGCCAGTATTCGGCATAACAGCGTGTTACCGAGTAAAATTTATGAACATGGGGACGATTGGAATAGTTTTCTTCATATTTGGTAAGTGAGCGTATATACTCTTTATACTCTCAGCGAGCGAAATTTTCATTAATCTGTGTTCAAAATACCTAGCTTATTTATATAAATCAATGACGCTTTTGCAATTTGACTTCGATGTCAAATGAATTATATTTACCATGAATCCAAAATGTTTGTTTCTGTGTTTGTCTATGTCTGTTTCTAAACAGAACAGCAGATGTTTCCATGTTATTATACGCATCGAAGGTTCTCTCCTTTGCGGTCCATTAATGGAATTACATGTTCGAAAGCCATTAAGCCCCTTTCACACAGGGCGCGAAATCCCGCCGACGTGAAAAAACCATCGCGGGATTTCCCGCGCTCTCCTCTTATATTTGCTGCATAAGAGATAGCAGAGAAAGAAAAAGAGGTGCTGGGTTCACAATATAGTGAATTTAAGGCCACAAGAAGGTGAATTTGCCACGCTATTCTGAAAATTAAGAGAACATGAAGTAAAATTCTTCAATTATTTCCGAATGTCTGCCGAAAGTTTTGATGAATTATTGTTTTGTATGCAATGCAATTTAATTAATACACAACAGCATGCAGATGAGAGACGCCGTGCCTGCAATTGAAAAACTGGCTTTAACTCTCACACACTCTTGCGGACCCACTGTCTGTACCACACTAGGTAGGGGCGTGAAAAACCGCCCAGTGTGGAAGATTACATTGAATACCATTGCAAGCTAAACTGTCGCGGGAAATCACGCCGCAGTTTTAGCTTGACACACGCGGTCGTCAGGCGTGAAACTTCACGCCGCGTGAGAAGCCGTCGTCTGTGAATAGCAGTGCACATTTTGTATGTCCGCTGAGGTTCGGCGGGAAATCTCGCGACGGTTTTTTTCACGCCGGCGGGATTTCCCGCCCTGTGTGAAAGGGGCCTAAGTGTTCCATGATCTCTATCAGTCTTAAATAAGGCGCATGGTTTACCTATGGAATCTTTGTTATATGAGTTAACTCGCACATAATAACTTTTACCCTCAGGTTTGCTGGACGTGAGCTTGTGTCAGTCAGTGCAGCAGCCATGTGTCCCGTACATGCTTGAGAACTACACCGTACCCTCAGGAGAACAGCTCTCGTTCACCTGCTTGTGTAACGCTACATACTGCGACACTTTCCTCACTCCAGTCGCTCCCGAGTACCCTTTGTTTCTCGACGTGACGTCGGACCGTCAACAACACAGATTTTTTCAAACTGTTGCAGAGTTTCAGGCTGCAGGATCCCCTGGTAAACTATTATTTGTTTACAGCCGTTTAAGATGTCATAAGGTTTAATCTGTTTGAGTAAATGTGTTACAATACAAGTAGAAAGCTGGTTTTTAACGATTCTATGAAATGTAGATTATTATTGAAATTTTTGATAGGATTCGCCATAGCAATGACAGGTACACTATATTTTGTCGCTCTACTTTTCGTTTCTTAAGAGACTACATTAACGATAGAAACGATTTAGCATTCTGTTCACATTCGTCCAATTTAAAAAAAATTATTCAATTTCTGACGAGCTCCAGAAAATGTGCCTGACAACCGAAAAAAAAGGTCATATTTAAAGACCATAAAGGCCAAAATCGTCATATTCGTCATAAAATCGTTTTTTTTTAGCATAAAGGTCATAATCGTCATATTCTAGCGGGTAAAATATATGATGCCTGTCAACCAGAATGAAAAATAAGGTTACATCGTCTTAATCTTGGCGGGCAGATGACAGCGATGACGCTTGGTTTGATCTGACCGACATCGAAGCTCAGGCGATCCTGGGCTTCGGCGGGGCAGTGACAGACTCCGCGGCTTTCAATGTCTTGTCGCTGAGTCCAGTTACGCAAGACCAACTCCTAAGGTGAAGATGTATTTTGGATGAAATTTCCAGATTCATATGTTAATCGAAAGGGAATAATTAAAAAAACTATTATTTTTCGCTTATAGTTTTTCATTTAATTGCCGTCCGGCTGTAGCATTGTCCGCTGTGTAATAATTTGTACAAGGGTGGAGGTGGGTGTAATTTGGAGCTTTTGAATAATCGGTTCTGCCTTGCTGAGACGTCTGGGGTGAATGTGAGTTGGTTGAAGAGCTGGGGATCACATGTTTTGATGGTGGACCAAGTTTTGCGTGCTTGTTGGTGAAGGACTGTATTCATTGTAGGAATGTCGCATTGCTCGTGTAGTGTTCGGGAGGTCGTGAAGTCGGACCAGTGTGTGTTTTTGATTAATCGGAGGGTTTTGTTTTCTACTGTCTGCAGTTTGGATATGGATGATATTGATTGGGTGTGTAACGGTATCGGGGTGTAAATGACGGATGATCTGACAAAGGAGAGGTATAAGGTGCGTTTTATGTTGGGTGGGAGGTGGTTAAATCTGCGTATTTTGTGTAGATTGATGAGGGCCATTGCTTTTCTTTTCGTTATTTGGGAACTGAAGCTTAGTATAGTAAAGTGTAAACATAAAACTGTTCCTTTGTTCGTGTATGGACGAATAATGGGTTTTGTCCATGAAGATGTCAGAAGCGTTTCGCCTATTGATGGGGAGTATTTTAAAATTAATTGTGTTTGTCCTAATGAGCTATTTATTTTCAAAGGTGTTGATCTGCCGTAGTACGTGTTGTATTTGTTTTGCTGCGTAGTTGTGTGGGTGGTTTGATGCCAGGTCCTGTGGTTATTTGTGCTATGCCATCTGCAAAAGCTATGTAGTCTGTGTTGTGTAGTGGTGGTGGGAGGTCGTGGGTGGAGTAGCTGTATAGTGTAGGGGAGAGACAAGCCCCTTAGGAGGGGACACCTGTGTGGATATGTAGTGTTGGGACCTATGTGATTACCCATTCTTATGGAAGCTGCTCTGTTTGTAAGGTAGTCTGAAGCTGTTTTGGTGAAGGATAGGTGGAGATGGATGACCTTATATTGGAGTCCGGTGTGCCATACCTTGTCAAATGCTTTGGTCACGTTGCGAGGCACTATGTCAGTGGAGTGTCTTTTTGCTAAGTATGACATTAGTATGTGGTTAGTGCTGTGTGTGTCCTTCTATGGTTCGTAAAACCGTGTTGTCCTGTGTTATGTATGTTGTGAGGTATGAGGTAAGGTGTTCGTATAATCTATTGTTGTGTATTTTGTCTAAAAGCTTCAGATGGATGTCTAGCAGGGAGATGGGTCTGTAATTTTGGACTTTGTGTTGTGAAGTGTTGGGTTTGGGGAGGATCATGATTGCGCGTTTTAGTGAATCCGGCAAATAACCGGCGGAAACGGCATGATTTAATACAGTGGTTCCCAAACTTTTCCAGGCTGGCGCCCCCTTTGGCTCCCTAGTGAATTTCTAGCGCCCCCCACAGACACATATAAAAACATACGCCTCTTTCTTGAAATTTAGTGCGCTGCGATTTTAAAAGATAAAGGTTAAACACTAATTAGTATTTCACAAATAGAACCCCATTTAGTGAACCAATATGTTTTTACGCTGTTTTAATTGTCTCAGCACTAGAAACCTGGGACGTCTCGGGCAAATTTAAGGCCGGACTAGTGGCCGGTCGCACGACCTATCTCCAAATTCAATGATCAAGTGATATCTCCCAAACTAATGAACGCAGCTCAATGAAACTTGGAACATGTATTCATGTTCACCTAACGATGATTTTTAGCTCGTAAAAAAATTTCTAAATTTCACATTCATTCGTGAGTTATATTGCGATAAAGGCCGAAATTCGCAGTGATCAAAGAATTTCTTACAAACTATACTGAACAGATTTGAACGAAATTTATGAATATACATTTCTAACTACCAAACGGTGGCTTTTTAGCTTATAAAAAATTATCGATTTTACCTTCGTTTGCGAGTTTTTTTCATTTCACCGTTATTCTTGATTTTACACTTCCTTATATTCGGCCCGTATCGCCGGATAATTTGTCGCTTAAATTCGCGGCGATCAAGAAATTTTTTCTAAACTACTGAACAGACTTCAACGAAACTTTGTACAGTGGGGAGAAATAAATATTCGTACACTTGAAAAATCGTATTTTAATGTATGTAAGTACACAAACTTAACAGGAAAAGTGATTTAAATTATGCATAGAGACGCATAGTATTCAAAAATATAACCGTTTGCCCAAACTGCACAGTGCACGAAGGTATTTGCCACTGTAATTTATCCAACGTAGAAAGGTGTTTTTGGGTTGCAGGTCATTCGAGATTAAGACGAAACCATGACTTGTGCTTGGCGTTCTGACGTTCGTTCGGCGTTTTGAGACGAAACGTTCTGTGTGCTTAGCATTTAAGATTAAGTTCTGTTAAGAAAATTTAGCGTGAATTCAGTAGGTACGAGTAAAACTGACAGATAGAAGCAAGGTGTTCACAAATTTTCCAAACCAAAGTGAAGCCACTGGGCATGTATCAGACTGCTTCTGATATAAATTGTCCGCAGAACAATAGAACATTTTTGTTGCAAAAAATAGTTTCTCAAAAGATGACAGCGAATCCAATTTTTTATGTTCACACGAGATATTGAGTAAATTTATTACGAATTTTGCGAAAACGCCAACTGGCTGTGTTGGAAATATTGCGATCAATTCAGACTAATTATTGTATCATTAAGTATAAATTGTATGGATCGATTAAGTGTGTTATATAATATTGACAATATTTTCAAATCGCCTCATTTATCTAAACTCTAAAGCCACGTCAACGTAGTCTGTAGAGGTAAAAGGCATCTCTAGAGCAGAGCGGCTCGGCGGCTCCCAAGCACAGCCATGAGCCGGCAGTCGAGTAAGCACACGTTCACACAAGTTGGGTTTACGGGAGTCGGCGTTGAGCTTCCTAGTAATCTTACTAATCTTAACTATGACCTGCTTCCTACCAATCTTTACCATGTCCTGCTTGAAATATGTGCTTTCCGGGTTATTTGCTCGTCAAAAAGGTATAATTTTTACGCAGAGGGATACGAATAAAAATTCATCTCTCTATAGCTTACTTCGATAGTGGAATTTAATTTAGGGAAATTTGCTTATACAGTCCGATAATTATTTCGATTTTAAGTCTAAATTTATACTAGAGTGGTCCTGGTATCTTTTGGACGCAAAATATTAAAGATTATGCAAGAGAATAATAGTGACATGAAGTGGAGCAGGTAATTCACGCCTGAAATTTCAAAATAATCGAGTGATATCAATTCTTTATTTCACGCAAGAATATTCTTGATAAAAATATTTCGAATCAAACCGCTGTCAAAATTGGTGTAATGTTCACATTATGAAACTTCGATGCTTATTAAGCATTTTTCCGTAGCCTTTACTCTGAGCTGAACCATCGTTCGTTACGAATAACCGGAGTTTGTTTCAGTGGCTGTTTACTTGAATGTAGCAGCATGTTCAAATAAAATTGTTGATGGAACCATCTATAATCATCACGGTGGTAGCACTAACTTCTGTCATTCGATGAAATTAATACTTGCAATACTTCAGTCAAATATTTTAAAATTACTCTAGAGCCTAGTCCTCTCCTATAGCTCAACGGTAGACGCTCTACTTCGCGTGTGGGAGACCGGAGTTCGAATCCTGCAGGCAAGGAGTTTCTTCAACTCGATTTATCACGAGGTATGTGTATGGTACTTTGAAAATTTGTTCCCGCTACATGTCTGACATTGTTACTTGTACTATCGTGGTAGATCTATGTACGCAGCCCCTACAATGCTGATTGTGTGGAACTATGTCAGTAAATATATAAGCATCGGATTAGAAACTAAATTAAAAATTTTTTAAGACTTCATTTTAAAAAGTGGCCATCGGTGGCTCGTCAATGTGCCACTGGTGCCAATGGGTAGTTATTTGCGGAAGAAGAGCTTTACGGGTAGGGGGGCCATAGGCAGGTTATAGGTGTGGCAAAGGTGGTGCACGCCACCCTTAATTCTCTGTATAAATCATAGCTGCTCCACCTGTGGCGTCCGCCTATAGCCATCTTAAAAACATAGGTGCTCCACTCTTAATTTTTATTTGGGGCAGCTACAAATTGCCACTACACCCTGCGCTTCAGTGACGGACAACCAACCTGCAGCAACCGGTCCTCTCCTCAGCTCCCGCTGAGACCCGTCCTCAGTGAGTAAATGAGCTGTTGCTGAAGCCCCCATGCACCTCAAAAGGCTGCCACCTCAGACGAGACGCTCGCTGAACGGCACACTCCATATAACGCAGATGTAGCGGACAAAAAGGGAAGAGTGGCGTCGTTGGCAGTCGTACGGAATCTGACTTGGGGGCTGTATCTGAATTGTACTAGACAGCAGTTAGCTTGAATCTTCGCATGAAGATATGAAGAAAAGAGGAAGGTTGCCAACACATATGCAAGAAATGTTGTGAACTGTAAAAATAAAAGTAAATAAATAAAATTATGAATAACGCTCAAATAATAATCTTCCAACTCAAATTATCTTAGGAATATTAAGAATTTTATACATCATTATCATAATTAATTTGTTTGGAGATTTTTGCGGGAGTCTTTCTCTGATTTGTGAATGCAACTGACCACTGTTGTGAAGAATTACTGCACCAAGCGCACTGGTTTCGAAGATGATCTTCAAGCAGAAATTAATTCTTTTACCGCCGGTTAATTTTGCAACTCACATCAAGAAATCAACATCAATAAATTGCGTTTTAACATCGAACATCCTCCTTCCAGTAAACGTAAACGTAACTAGTGCCTTTTGAAATTGCCCTAGGATGTGACTGTCGTGTTTTTCAGGATTTTTTCATCGATCGTTGAATCTAATGTTTGGGTAATATTTTCGATGGCGCTTTCGCATGTGGCGGTATTTTGTTGACTCTTCAGGAGCTATTGTTGTCTTCTGCATGGTAGCAAATGAACGAAATAAAAA